TTGTTTTCCCATCTGTTACAGACAGATATAGATGCTAAAAATAGAGTGGAAAGTTCCTAGAAAGAAGGAATGGTTAGGCGAGTTTCAAGGTTTGGAAAAAGAAAAGAAAAAAATGTGTGGATCACAAAAACAAAAATAAAGACAAATATTAAGGACGATAAATAAGAGCATTTTGGTTGTCCGAGTTCGTCTCGATCCTCTCTTCACAAACCAATTACGTATCTCTTCTTCCTTAATTCCTCTTCTCCAGAGGACAATATTCATACAAAACAACAAGTCTTTCTGTAGCAACTCATAACAAAAGCAATGGTGTGTTCTCTAATTCTCCTCTCTTTTTTTTTGTAATAAACTTATAGGATTGATGTTTGTAAACAATGCACAATATTCAAGTTGACGATTGTATTGGTTTCAAAATCAACCAGAGTTTTGGTTAGAATATCTGATTTAAAAAATATGGTCGTCCCATTGTAGAATATTTGATCAAATATTAGACGCCATTCTTTTGAGCATGTTATTGACGTGTTTCTCGTATATGTTGTATCATTTTAATTCATAAGTTGATCATATTAGTGCTTGATTACTCAATCTAGACTAAGATTAGATAAAAGGTAGCATACGTCGTATCACTTAGGCTTTCACATTTGATATTTATTAGTGAGACAAAAAAAATGCACTTTTTGTAATCGATGTGATGAAAATATATAACGGTGGTGGATGTCGCTGAAATGATTTTGAATAAAAAGGCGAACGCGGCGTCGGGGATGGCAGTGGAAGACGATTGCAAGCTGAAGTTTTTGGAGCTAAAGAGAAGAACCTATCGATTCATAATATTCAGGATAGATGGGCAACAAGTGGTGGTGGAAAAGTTAGGAAAGCCGGAGGAGAATTACGATGATTTCACTGCCTCTCTCCCTGCCGATGAATGCCGCTATGCGGTCTACGATCTCGATTTCACCACCAATGAGAACTGTCAGAAGAGCAAGATCTTCTTCATCGCCTGGTATCGTATTCAGATCTTCACTCATTTTCTTTATTGGTGTTGAACTTGAATGAAGTATGATTTTTTAAAGAAAAATTTGTTAGAGGTTTCACTTTGATTTTGTTTTAATAACATAGAGAATCAATTGTGTCTTTTTATTTTATTTTTCTTTCTTGTGCTGTGACCTTGTTATTCAAAAACTTGAATGATGTATGATAGGTCACCAGATTCGTCCAGGGTGAGAATGAAGATGGTGTACGCGAGCTCAAAAGATAGATTCAAGAGAGAATTGGATGGTATTCAGGTGGAGCTACAAGCCACTGATCCTAGCGAGATGAGTTTCGACATTATCCAGAGCCGAGCTCTCTAGACCCTTTTCATTGTTTTCGAAAACCATATTTATCACCTCGCTCTATCATCATCCTTCGTGGTCTTCCAAAAAGAAAACAAAAGTTTCCATGTTATGTAATTTTTCTTGGTTAAGAACTAAATGCTTATCCTTCTTATTCATTCTTCACTTCTCTTTATAAACATTTTTGTTTTCAAAATGTAATACACTTAAAAACCACAAAAATGTAATTGAATTTTCCGTTTGCGAGGAATTGAACCCTATGTGTAGTACTATGTTTTGTTCCTCCTTGTGTAATTTCTCAAATAAAAAGACTAACAAATTTTCCATCGGAGTTAAATAGCAAATAGTCGATATGTCCGAGTGGTTAAGGAGACAGACTTGAAATCTGTTGGGCTTCGCCCGCGCAGGTTCGAACCCTGCTGTCGACGTTTCTTTTTTTCCTGCTCTAATTTGGGTCCAATCAATTCGTTGACTTGCTTTTTTAATCCGATGATAGTTTTGTACTATTAACCAAAATTATTCATGTCTTTCCATTACAAGGTAGTAAATACAGCAAACACACCATACACGAATAAGAAGCAAACCTCATCAGTTTCCAGATTCTTGAAATCTCTTTTGCACAGGTACAGATCCATTGTTGTCGCCGCCGTCGGTTTGGCCCGCCGCAATATTCCCTAAAACCATTACACCAACATCATAAAGTCATTACAACCTCTAAAAGCTGGGAAACGCAAACGCAATTATAATTTTAAAACAAAACAGCGATTACCGACGGTGGAGCCAAGTGACTGTGAAGAGGATTCTGTAGACTTTTGCACAACTTCCTCCGTCGTACCTGCGAGCCACGAAGTAACAGCTCCTCTTAGCTTCTCCACCATTCCTCCTTCGCCTTCCTCCGCAAACGCTTCGCCGTGTTTCCTCTCCTCTTGAGATCTCTGATCTGAGAATCCTCCGAGCCTCTTCTCCACCTCCTCCGATTGGGTTACTATCCCTTTCTTAACCGGCGCCGTCGTGTTCTCGCCGCCGAGATGAAGTTTCTCGGTGACAACCTTTGATAAAGCCTTGTCTTCCTCTCCAGGACTTAATTTCTCAGTCAGATATTCCCTCGCCGACACTCCCTTGTCTTGTCCTTGCCGTGTCTCCGTCTCCGTACCGCCGGAGAGAGGCAATTTCGTCATCACCGTCGCTCCTGTCTCTTTAACCTTGTCGTAAATTGGAGTCAATTTCTCACTAACCATACTCCCGTACCCACCACCGGAGCTTCTAGTTTCCTCTCCTTCTCCGTCACCGGAATAACCCAGCTTCGATGCGACGGCGTTTTTTGCCGCTACGGCTTTATCGGTTATGACCGAAGTCGCTGATGCGATCTTATCACTGTAACTGCTCTGATTCGGCTCCAAATCACTCCCTGATTTCACATCTAATTCATGACTCCTCACCGGAATTTCTCTCCCCAGTCCAGATCCCGGACTTTTCTCCGGTAGATCTCTTCCATGCCCTAATTGATCATCTTCACCTGTTCCTTTCCTCCTCGTATCAAAGTTGTTACCTTTTCCGGTGGGAGCAGTAAATTTGGACTGATAATTCGATATCCCACCAAGAGAGCCCAACCCAGGAACAGACGTTCTCGTGACATCTTCCGTCGAAGAGAGTGAAGAAGACACTGGCGTGTTATGCGGCGTCAGTGTTACAGAGTCTCTTCTCTTTTCGTTTTCCGACACATCTGACGCTCTTACAGGACGAGGCGGTGGTGCTTCGTGTCCGTGAGATGCATAAGAGCCTCGTATTGGGTCCACTCCTCTGGTTGGTTTTGCGTGAGAAGAGGACACTACCGGAAAAGCTTTCGTCCCTGGAGGGATTAACTCCTCCTCCTCCTTCACCGGAATGTGAGTTTTTGTAGGTGCACCGCCGTGGATTTGTTG